CTGTGATCAGCTCTCACCTCAACTGTTCCCATCCCTCTCTACCTCCCACAGCTGCAACAGCTCTGCGAGATCTTTCCTCACTGCTTTAAACGCTCCTCAGATCCTCCTATTCTGCTTGGCTCTGGCTTTACAGGAGGAATCATGGAAAGCTGGGCTGTGCCTGATGTTCTTGGTGAGGTTGGGCAATTCCATCCCCCCTGTGAGGCTCAGCCCTTTGAACCCCCACTTTAACCTGCCCTGGTCCCACAGCTCCGACCTCACTCTGTGCCAAGGACCACCACAACACCTTGAGAACACTGAGGAGTCCTCACAGATAATACATTTAGAACTTCAAACTTCCTGTTTGAAACTTCTCCACACAGACCTCCTGGATCTCAGCACGCGCTGACAGCACACGAGAGCTTTGAAACATCCACAAATGGCAAAAATAACAGGAATAATCTGCCAGCTGGAAGCTGCAGCCCATTGTTTTCCCATCAGAGCTGCCTGGAACAACCCACTTGAGAAACACTTAAGGAACACATGTTCAAATAGTCACTGCAGAGCTGCAAGCAATGATGGGACTCATCCGTGGGGTGACGGTGACACTTTGGCTCCGGTGGGAAAGTTCTTGTAACTCCCTGCAGCAGCTTCATTAACCCCCAATCGAGATGTTCCTCTAAATTTAAGCCAAGAGGAGTTGAAGGAGCCACAGACCTGCCCAGGACAAAACTCATGACCCCTGCTCACAGGTGATAAGGAGAGGGGCAGAGCAGGTGCCCTGGCATTGGCACACTCCTCACACCTGGCATGGGTGTGGTGCAGCCCTGGCTAATCCATTCCCCAGGAATTCCTCCAAGGACACAACCAGGAGCCATTTCAGTGGAAAGCTGCTTGAAAATAAAGCTTGACCAAGAGTCAGGGGTGTTCCAAGAGTGCCCAGGTGACACTGAAAGTGCCACAGACACAGGTCCCTGGTGCTTCCACAGGAGGATGAAGCTGAGCCCCAGACCATGGAAGCTGGTGGTTCTGGGTCATCTGAGACAGGAAAAATACCTGGAAATACAACATTTCCCTCTGAGAGTGAAAACTTGGAGGGTCACACAATTTGATTAATTGGTACAACTTTATCCTAAAAGAACAGCTGTTGGAAAATGATCCCTGGACTCAACCATGCCTGCTTTGGGTGAGTGATGAGAAGGAAAATTACCAGGGAGTCTGGAGGGGAGTGTGTGGCTGGCTGAACCGCTGAGCTCTCCACCACAGGCACAGGAAGTGCTATTGTGATTTTTAACTCTGCTTCATTTTCCTACCCACTGAAATCAAATTTTCTCCTGCCCAAGCCCAGTGCCCACACAATGTGCCCAGCAGCCTTCCTAGAACCACTGGCATCATCGATTAATGAGTCCTGTGCAGGCAGTGAAAAAGGATGATTCATTATTGGCAGCAACGCAGCTGTACATGGATTTTTTTGGGGGGTGAAAGAAATAAATAAGGTCCCTGAGTGAAAGGCGGGTGATGAAGTGTAGCCTGGCTTTAATCCCAGTGTAATTGCTGCCATCACTCCTAATTATTGATAAATATTTTTCTAATTGTGGAAATTAAACAATTAGACATCCTTCCTTCCCTCTTGGAAATCTAATCAGTTCAAAGTTCAGGATGCAGTCTGGGAACACGCTCCACTTGTGGGCAGGGGAAAACAGGGCTTCTCTCAAAACTTTCTCCCTAAATTTTCTCCCAAAGCCCCCCTCTGCCTCTAGCCCTGCTGCTGGGAGCAGGGACCCATGGGTGGGGTGTGCCCTGGCACATCCTGGGGGTTTCCTAGGAACATTCCTCCATCCCTGTGATCCCAAGGGATTCCAGGGCCAGGCAAGCAAAGAGGATTCAGGTCATAGATCTTGCCCCAGTGACACGTTTTCCTCCATCCCAGAGAGGAGAATAGGGCAGTTAATGGCCAGGCAGGCAGAGCTCCTTGGAAGTTAATAACAGAGATTTACCGGCGTGCTGGAATGCACAGAAGGAGGTCAGGCTGTTAATTCTCCTGCTGCTGATCCCTGTGGATAAATCTACATCAGGAAACGAATTACCCAGAGAGGGGTATCAAAAGGGATGGTTCTAATTCCTTGCTGAAGGAGAAGTGATGCCTTAAACACTGAGCCCCTCGCACCCACCGTGCCGAGTGCAAGATCCCTCTCTCAGCAGGATCTGGCCCGCAGCACCTCGCAACTGGAAGAGTGGGATGAGCAAAATCCCTCCTTGAGATTTAAGCCATCTGGCAGGCTGTGTCTCCCTGCTCCCGAGGCCCCAGGTTGACCACAGCACCCCAGGAAATATCTCCATAAAGACATTTTTTCTGTTCTCCTCAATTTCCTGTCGCACCTGATTAAATACCTGACAGTACTGACAGCCTAAACCCAGCACAATTCCATCCCACACCCAGTTACCTTCCCAAATCTTACTGGAGATTTTTGTTAGACTTCTTATTAATTTTATCCCCCTGTACACCCACGCAGGCCAGTGGCTGTTCCACATCCAGACAAACCCCTGGAATCCACTTCCTTTCCCCCGTGCTCATCAGTGTGGGCTGTAATGAGCCTTATGGTTTCCATCCAAGTAATTCCATGGACAGGATCCAGAGCAGGGCTGACCCCGGGGGACTCAGCATCATCCAGCCCCGTGAGAGGGGACACCGGCGGGACTCCAGGGAGCCACGGCCCCACGGACGGGGTGGCAGCTGGGGACACATGTCCTGCGTGTCCCCCAGCCCTCCCCAGCTGCTCCGAGAGCCTCGGGAGGAGGATCCCCAGGGAGTGACCGGAGGGGGACGGCAGCCATCTGCTCCAGAGCCGGGGGTCTGCGTCTGGAGACAGCCGAGTGACAAACGAGGTTAATGTCCCACGAGCGGGAGCTGTCACTCTGCGTTAGGTCCCGGCTTTCACCTTCCACAGCGCAAGACTCCGGCACGGATGACGCGGGGAGAGGCGCCGGCAAAGCGGGACGGGGCTGTGACCTGTGACCGGAGAGGCCTCAGGTAGGGACCGGTGGGACCGGGCTGTTGGAAGGGTTTGTCCCTCCCGGCCGTCGGGATCCTGCCCGTGTACCACGCGGTGCCGTGGGCTGCTCGGGTGGGGACGGGAGGGCAGGCAGCGGAGTGGAGCCCTGGGAAAGCGGTCCACGGTGTCCTGGTTACCGCGGGGACCGGCACCGTGCCAGCGACCTGAGCCGGGCCGTGGGTGTTCATTACCGACAGGCAGGGTTACCGCAGGGACGGGTGTCCTGTTTCTGCAAGAGCCTGCCCGCAGTGACATCGGCTGTGGCGGTCACCTCCTCTGCAGCCACAACGTCACCAGGGCCCGGTGACCCACAGACACACACCAGCACACGCCGGCCTCCGGCTCCGAAGTAAAAGCCTACTTTATTGTCGTATAAAGTAAGAACTAAAATGTCCCTTAACCCAAACACAGATGGGTCGGGTGGTCCCGGCATCCCCCATGCTGCGGGCACAAGCGGTGGCCTGGGGGAGCAGCCTGGGGGGGTTCAGTCGGGTCCCCTCCAGCCCCTTTTCTCCTCAGCCGGTTGCAGAGAAGGAAGGAGCTGCCTTGGGGCTGCGGGGAGGCCCGGATGGGAGCTGAGGCTGAGGTGTTTGTGCGTTGCAGAGCTCCTGCTCTGTGCTGGAATCAGGCACTTGTGGAAGGGCGTGGGCCCTGCTCCTGGCTGGCTCAGTCCCACGGCTCCCACCAACACCAGGCACGAGGGTCCAGCAGCTGGGGCTGCCCTCACCAGGGGCTGAGGTTGGGCCTGGCAACAAGGCAGGTCTGGAGGTTCCAGCAGCTTTGGTTGGTGCTCTTGGTGAGTTAAGGCAATTTAGCATTGGTTGGTTTAAAAAAAAGGCCAAAAACAGCAAAACCAGATGTCCCAGAGGCCAGACAGGCAGGTGGAAGAGTCTGGCGCTGCTCTGGCTTTGTTCTGAGTTGCCACTTGGACCCTGCATGCCCAAAAGTGGGCACTGACCCCTGCCTGTGCCAGCCCTGTGCTCAGCATCACCTCCACCACTGACACCAGGAACCTGCAGCCCAATTCTGGAAACGTCAGGAAGGGACTTTGGGATATTTTAGGGGCAATTCAGGCTCCTGACAGCAGCGCAGGAGTGGGGAGAGGATGGAGGCACCGTGGCAGCTCCCTCCATCCTGCTTCCCATCACAGTGACCGGTCAGCAGCTTGTGAGGTGGGAGCTCCCCTCCACCAGTGACACGAGCAGATGGCCAAGGGTGCTGTGAACACCCTCCCACGTGTTTCCCGAGAGTACCGAGGGGAAACCCACTCCCCCAGCACCCCAGCAGGGCTGGACCCGCTGCCAGGACCCCCAGCTGCCCCTCCATCAGCACCCACATCCCCTGGCAGCCCCAAAGGGCTCTGCCCCAGGGAGCTCATTCCCCGTTTGGTTCTCGTTGCCCACACTCCGAGAGGAAAGGCTCTGGGTTTTCCCACCAGTGACCCCATGTCTGAGTGGGGACCCCCACAGTCCTTGCCCCACCTGGCCGGAGTGCCGGGAAAGGGGCAGGGAGATGAAACGGAAGATGGGGCGGCACCAACCGGTGTGTCCCCACCCCCTGCCCCACCTCTTGGTCCCGCTGGCTGCGGCCGCAGTCCGTGACCCTCCAGGGCCAGTGACTGGCAGGACATTGACCTTCCTGCTCCTCCCCACTGCCCTCGCAGCAGAGACCCGCGCCCAGGCTGCCCTGGGCTGCCGTACCATCCCTTGGGCAGCCAAGGGGGAGCCAGGGAGAGATGAAAACTTCGATTCCATTAATGCCCCAAGGGATCACTACAAAGGAAATATAAAAAGTTTTAGATGAAGTCTGAATGTCCAAGTCGGTCGGAGCAATGGTTGCACGCCAGGGGAATGCTCCAGGCTGCTCCAGTCCTCCATAACTTGGAGGAATGCTGCGGATCCTCCATGCTCATGTCTGATATCCATCCCTGTCCTCAGCCACCAGAGCCAGGGACTCATCAGCTGCAGCTGCTGCTTCCAGGAGGAGAACAGAACAAATCCATGAGTATCTCTGTGCGATGCCAGTGGCTGCTGACAGCCCCTGGAGTGGCCGGTCCCCAGCTCCACACGTGCCCATGTCCTGCAGGATGCTGGTGCTCACACCACAGTGCTGATGGTGGACGACTCCTCCGATCGCCGCTGCTTGCTGGGCAGTGACTTGAGATACTCCAGGTGCCGCCGGGCGTCCTCCTGGTTCTGCCTCACGTAGTAAACCAGGTAGGAGATCACCATGGCGAACCAGCCGAACATGGTGACCAGCATGGCGATGTCCGTGGTCTTCTTGTACACGTTGCAGAGGTCTGTGTCGGCGATGACCTGCAGGAAAGCTTTGCCCACGTGCTCCTCCTGCGTGGAGGAGTCGCACACGATGCCCCCCGAGGAGTCGGCCGCCAGCTCCACCGCTCGCATCAGCTCCTGCAGCCGACAGTCGCACAGCCACGGGTTGTTGGACAGGTTCACCTTGGCTTTCAGGTTGCTCAAGGCGTCTTTGCTGACCGACACCAGCCTGTTGGAAGACAAGTCCAGAGAGTGCAGGTGCTCTGCCAGGCCCTGGAAAGCCCCAGTTTCAATTCTGGCGATGGCGTTGTGGGAGAGATCCAGCTCCAGCAGGAGTGGCAGGTCCCGGAAGGCATCGCGAGGCAGGAAGGGGATTTGGTTGAAGTCCAGGTAGAGCTTGTTGGTGTCATTGGGGATGTCCCTGGGGACCTCGGTCAGCTGAGCGTTGCTGCAGCGAAAGGTCTTCAGCCCCTCCTCTTCTGAGGGGTAGCAGCCCTTGGGGAAGGCAGTGGCTGGGTGGAGGCAGGAGCCCAGGAGGAGGAGGAGGAGGAGGAAGAGGCTCTGCAGGAGCAGTCCCATGGTGATGGGGCGGAGGAGAACCCCCTGTGCCACAGTCATGGTGCTGCACTGCCTTCCTCACACCCACAGTGGCTTCAGCTGGACTTGGCACATCTGAGACAGGGACAACAAGGGGACAGCGTCAGGCTAGGGGAGGCAGGGGCAGAACTGTCACTGCGCTGGCTGTGAGCACCACATCAGACCCTAGCCATGAAGCAGGGACAAGGATGGGGACCAGGACAGCCGTGATGGCTCACCCTTTCCCCCATGCCCGGCCATCACCTCGCCCTGGGCTCCTGCGTGGCAGGATCAGGCCCCAGGGGCTGGGCTCGTCTCCTGCGCCGGCAGCTGGGTTAGAACAGCCGGAGGCGCTCGGGCTGAGCCAGAGGCGGGGTGAGCTCCCGCCCTGCCAAGGTCGCGGCGCCGCGACCGCTGCTCGCAGGAGGCCGATGCATCCTGCGGCGGCCGGAGGACGCACCAGAGCGAGCCCCGGCTCCGGGCGAGCGGCCGCTGCAGGCGGCCCCCGGGGAATGCCACGGAAAACATGTGCAGGCAGCGGCTCAGCAGGTTCCTGCTCCCGGCTCCGCTCTCCGGGAGCGCCTGGGGCACACGCGGACGCGCGGCGGGTTTTCTCCTTCCGAGGGGACCGGCGCAGGTGGGTGCTGGGTGCTGCTCTGCTCTGCCCGCTGCCACCCCACCGTGGGGTCGGGCTGCTCACACCACCCCGTAACCATGGGCCCCATCCAGCCCTTGATTCCGGAGGGGAAAAGCGTCAGCAGGAAAGAAACAAAAACAGAAAAAGGAAATTCACTGGAGCTGAGCGTGCAGCGAGTTCCCAGGGTGGTGGCAGCAGATAAGGGCCGTGTCTGAGCGCACCGAGCGCTCCCAGCCCTGGGTCCCACCACGTCCAGGGCTCCCAGCCTGTCCCTGTGCCGGTCGTGGCAGAGCAGCTCTGAGGGCAGGTCCAGGTGCTCTCCAACCATCCCACAATCAAAGCCACTGGCACTAACAGGCACCTGCGTGCCCGTCGGGCAGAGCTCAGTGCTGCGGGAGCCCCGAGCTGCGCCACCAGCAAAGCTGCCTGCTGCTCCCCGGAGCACCCCAAGACCGGCAAACCCGCTTCGGGGTGCTGACCGGGGCTCCTCGGTGTGGCGCCGAGGCGGCCACTCAAGGGTGGTCCCCAGAGCACAGGCAGGAGAAAGCCCCGAGCGCTGGGCAGTGTCACACAGCCCTGCCACGCCGACACACCCCAAGGTCACACCTGTGCAGAGCTGACCCCTGCACTGCTGGAGCCCCGGGATCCCGGAGGGTCCCGAGAGGGAACCAGAGTTCAGGGCACACCAAAGGCACCGGGAGCCCGGAGCCCACACTGCACCAGCCCCCCACGTCTTCCAGAGGTAACCTGGGACAAACACAGCCCCTCGGTACCCTCTTCCCGCTGCCCGGGAAACCACCAGGACGAGCCGGGACCCGGTGTCCCGGGAGGGGGCTGCTTCATCCACGGAACCGGGACACCCCTGCGGGTGGGATGCGGGCCAGGCAAGACAGCCAGCCAGCCCTTGCCCCACCGCGGGTTCCCCAGCCCGCAGCAGGGCGCGGGGATCCCCAGCACGACGCCGGGGGTCGCCGCCAAGCCCAGGAAATGCCGTAGAGGAGCCGGGGACGATACGGACGCCAGGATTCTCCGTGAGCCCGGGGATGCCCGGGAATCCCCCCGGCCCCGCTTGGCACCGGGGGCGTCGCAGGCGAGGGAAGCCCCGGTGCTTCCCCGGGGGAAGCTCCGCTCTGTGCGGCGCTGCCGGCCCTCCCCTCCTCGCCTCCCGCCCCACCGGAGGTCCCGTTGCGGACTCACCTGCCTGTGCAGCCCCCGGCGGCGGAGCGGCCCCGCGCCCCGGGCCGGAGCGGCCGCGCCCCGCGCAGCGCGGCGGCCCCGGAGCCGGCGGCGGCGGCGGGGCCGGTGGGCGGGATCCTCCGCCCGGGCCTCCCCGGGGCTCCCCGCCCCCGACCCGCCCCGCCGGGGGGGCCGTGCAGCTCCAAGCACCCTCGGCCCCGCGCCCGAAGCCTTCCCAGCTCCTCGCTCCACCGGAGAAGCGCTGCCCTGGGTCCTTAGACAGGGAAGAGCGGGAAGACACCGGAGAGACCCAGTGAGGAGCTGCCGAGACCCCCGAGCCAGGGCCAGCTGGTGCCGGGGCGTCCCGGGACACTCCATGACCTCCGTCCCCCAGCGTCCCCGCCGAACTCCGGTGGGAGCCCGCCCGGCCCCGCCCGGCCTCCCGTGCCCTCGGCGCCCCCCGGTGCTGCCCCCGGAACCCCCCAGGAATCCCCTCATCCCCTCCCCAGACCTTCGGAGGGAGCAGGACGCCCCTACTCCCGCTCCGGCGGGGTCACGGTGCTCCCCCCGCCCCTCACCGGCATCGCTTACTCGGGGAAACCCGACCCGCGGCGGTGGCACCGGGCGGGGCGAGATCCAGGGGAAGCGGAGTGGGTCCCCAGCCCAGCCCCCAGCTTTCCGGGCCGGGAGCCGCCAGGCTGGGCTGCGGCTCGGGGTCCCGCCGCCCCGGGGCACCGGCGAGTGTGGCTCAGGACCATGGAGAGCGGCCGCCGTTACCGGGCCCCGGGGCCTCCAGGAGGGACGCGGCTCCCGCTGCCCCGGCCCCGGATGTCCGCGGCGGGACAGCCCGGCCCCGGGCACGGACGTTCTCCCGCTGCTGCAGGGGGATAAAACGTTTAGGAGGCGGCTGGCCTGGATCTCGCTTCAATTAGGAAAAGGGAAGCTGACGGCAGCCAGACACGGCCGCGGACGGATCCTCCCCAGAGACCCCCCGCACTCCCCGGAGCCCCGCGCTCCCCCGGGGCCGGGCCATTGATGGCTCTGGCACCCTGGAAGTGTTCAAAAAGCGTGTGGATGTGTACTTGGGGACATGGTTTAGTGGCGAAGGTGACAGTGCTTGGTTGTTGGTTGGAGTGGATGATCTTAGAGGTCTTTTTGATGTTTCCATGCCCGTAGCCAAGCTCGACGCCGAACCGGTGCCGGGCTCACCGGGCAGGGTTGTCCCGGGACACCGGCAAGCAGCAGAGCAGCAGCAGGCAGCCACAGTTGGTGCTGTAAAACACTTCCTTTAGCATCTCCCGGTTCGACCGGGGAGCGGAGCAGCCCCGTGCTGCCCGTCACCATTCCCAGCGCCGCCGGGAGCTCTGCACGCTGCGGGAGCTGGGATGGCCGTGTTGGGGTGTGGCGGCTCCGGTGACACAGCCACACGCCGCGGGACGGGCCGAGGGGCCAAGGTGACAGGCAGGGGCGCGGGGGGACTGAGCTGGGACCCGGAGATGCCCCAGGGCTGCACCCCACGGGTGTCCCACGTGGAGGACACGGCACCCACCAGCACAAAAGCTGCAGTGCAGCACGACCCACGCAGACCCTTCCCACCGCAGGGTGCCTAAAAATAGCTGGCACCGGCTTCTCGGAACTGAATATAACCGGCATCGACCGGGCAGCGGGACCGGCAGCAGGCAGAGCGGGAGCTGAGCACGGCCCGGCACCGGCAGGGGCTAGGGGTGAACGAGGCCTAGGAATCCACACGGGAACAGCTCCCCTGAGCGCGGGGGGAACGCGGGTGAACTGCCGGTGAGCGGATGGGGCCGGATCCCCCCAGGGAACTCCCCGCCCCCGGTGCCGGTGTTCCCTGGGCGGCTGAACGCGGTGTGGGGAGCCCGGGAAACGGGTCGGGTCCCCCCCGCGCTCCACCGGCAGCGGCGGCTGCTGCATCACGGAGAGCGATGAATATTTATGGCCGTTTAAAAATAGCTGCTGCATTGTGCTTCCCCCTCACGTGCGGAGCCAGCGGGGTGCGGGGAAGCTGCTAAATTAGATGTCACCGCGCTGAGAGCTGCTCAGTCAGGCAGGAGCAGGATAAAAATAGAGCCTGCTGTGCGTGCGTGGATCTCCTGCAAAGCAGGACCGGATCCCGTGGGATCCCCCGCCTCCGCACCGGCATCCCCGCACCGCGCCCTGCCAAGAGGGCACCGCAGAGGAGGCGGGCGGGGACAACGCGGTTCTGCCGGCTGGCAGTCAGCGGCCTTCCATCTGCTTTGCCCCACATCCGCGTCTCTCCGTGCCCAAAGCCCTCTGGAAGCAGACATTGCTGAGCTCTGGCTCCGGCAAGTGACCCCCATGCCCTGCCAGCAGCACGGTGCCAGCATGTGGCACCCTGGCAGCCCGCGGGGTCTCGCTGCTCTCTCGCCGTGCCCCGTCAGGATGAGCGGCTGGAGGCGAGGCAGGATAGATGCAGACAGGGTGGGGACAGCCTGGAGGCACGGGGACGCTCTGCGAACCTCGACATCGCTGCGACTCCGCCTGGGCCGACACCCGAGCCCAACGTGGGCTGTGCCGAGCAAAGTGTCTGTGCCAGCCCCGGGGGGCTGCGAGTGGCACCGGCAGAGCCGCGGGCAGCCGGGAGCCCCTCGCTCGGAGCCCGCACACTGCCAGCGGCTCTGCTCGGCTCTGGGCAGGGGGTTTGCAGCCCACAGTGGCTCCGGCGCTGCCCCTCCGCTGCTGGAAGAGCCGGCAGCAGGCACACACAGAGCCCGGCACAGATGGCTGCGGCACCCGTGGGCCGTGCCAGCCCCACGCGATGAGCTTTGATGGTTGTGCAAACAAAAGCGGAGCCAGATGGTCTCCCCCGCGCTCCAGCGCTGGAATCCTGCGCTCGCTCCCAGCCCCGACCTTGGCTGGGTGTCCTGCAGCGCTGCCGGGGCTGTCTGCACAATGCTGCTGCTGGGATTTTCATGCTGTCACGGAATCAGAGTCGTTTGGGTGGGAAGGGACTTTAAAAACCACCTGGTCCCACTCTACGACATGGGCAGGGACACATTCCAGTACCCCAGACCGCTCCAAGCCCTGTCCAACCTGGCCCCGCACACTTCCAGGGATGGGGCAGCCCCAGCTCCTCCTGGAAGCTGCCCCAGTGTTCCCCCACCCTCGGAATTTCCCTGGGAGAAGCGGCCGGGGGGCAGCTGGGGGCACCCAGCCGGGTCTGGGGGTCTCTGTGAGCGGAGCGGGGGTCGGTGCCGCCCCCGATGTCCTTCCCGGAGCCGCTCCCGCTGGTTCCCGCGGCGGCTCCGCCTCTCCCGCTGCTGCCGGACTACAGCTCCCGGCGTGCCGCGGCGGGGCGGGCCGAGGGGCCGCCGGGAGAGCACCGGGAGAGCACCGGGAGAGCACCGGGAGCGCGGCGGAGCGAGCGGCGGCCCCGCCGAGCCGAGCCGGGCCGGAGCGGGCGGGAGCGGTGAGTGCGGCCCGGGGGCGCGGGGCGGCACCGGGGGGCTCTGCCCTCCCCGGCGGCGGCGGCGGCCGAGCCCCGCGGCGGGGCCGGGGGAAGGTGCCTCGCATGGGCCCGGCCCGAAAGGAAAACAGCCCGAAAGAGAGAAGCGGGTGCTGGGATGGAGCTGGGAAGCGGCGGGGTGGGAGTGGGGGGTCCCTGTTGGGTGGTGCGGGTCCCCACGGGCGGGGTCGCGCTGTGCAGAGCCCGGCCGGGAGCGGGTCCTGCCCCGGCCTCCCGGGGCACCGTCCCGTCCCGGGAAAACGGGGAGGAAAGTGGGGTCTGGGACTTCACGTGAGCCCGGAGGAGCCCAAGCTCGGCCTTCTCTTCGTGTCCAAGATCTCCCGTTAAATCCACTAGGAAAGGCCGAGGGGGCGGCTCACGCGTGTCCTCGTCCCCGTGTCCTCGTCCCCGTGTCCTCGTCCCCGTGTTCCCCGTGTCCCCCCGAGGAGGAACCGGGCAGCGCTGGGGCTCAGTCACGTCCAACACGGCCCCGGGCTGGAGGGACACGGAGCATTTTGTTGCCAGTCTCACCTCTCACCCAGCACCACCCAGTTCACGGCGTCCCCCTTGTCCTCCGTGCTCCGGTTCATCCGCTGCCTGCGGCACAGAAGGGTTTAAAGGATTTGTTTGGGAGGTGGCAGCTGTTGCTGCTAGAGATTGGGGTCTGTGATCTGTGGGATCATGGTCACCTGCAGTCTGGGAACACTGGAGATCAAGATAAACACCCGAGCCCTCCTTCCCTCACCAGCCCAGGGAAGATCCTGCAGCAGGGTGCCAGGATGGAACGATGATCCTGAAATCCCTGGGGAAGGGTAACAGCACTGCCAAAGCATAGGATCATTTATTTAGGATGGAAAAGGCCTTTAAGATCATCAAGTCGAGGCATTAAGCAAGGGAACAGGATCAGATGGTGGTCACACTCCTCTGGGGACAAAGGTGAGGAGGGAGCTGCCCCTGGACAGGGAGCAGGACAGAGGATGAGGCACAGGGAGGGCTCAGCTCCACTGCCACGTTGTGCCCTTTGCCACTGGCTGCAGCTCTGACTTTTCCCCTCCTGGGATGGCCACTGTCCAATGTCAGCACAGCCCTGACCTTCACCCTCAGCCTGGTGTAACATTCAGGCTTCTCTGTTCCAAAAAAAAAGGGGGAAAGCAGAGTCTGGCAGCAGCTGCTCTGGGAAGGGGGAGCTGGAGTCCTTCCCATGGTGGGCTGTGTCTTGTCTTGAAGGTGAACAAATCCTGGTGTGGAATTAGAAAGCAAACACGGGATGTGGGATGGGGGTAGGGACAGGGCTCTGGGAACTGATGTGTCCTCAGCCAGGCTTGTGCAATCCAAAATTTGGGAGAGCTGGGCCAAGGGCTGCAGAGCCCAGGGCAGAGCTGGTGAAATATTTGAGGTGGGAAGGACAGAGTTGGAGATGTGGAATCACCCTCATTGCAGCAGTGAGTGCTTGGTGTGTCTGTGTGTCCTGCAAGAATTAATTAACCTCTTGTATGTTTTAGCATCCCACCCCCCAATCCTTTATTTTACAAGGAAGGGAAACTGAGGCACAGGAAGGAGAATTGCTTCACATACAGCTTCCAAG